ACAAGTATCAAGGACCTTTCATTTATCACCAAAGACAGGTGCCATGAATTATTGGTTAGTCTCCGAAAAATAACAGTTACTATCCAGCCTGCCCCCATCCCCATCTATTGACAGGCAAAGGGTATCTAATCGTTGGCTTAAAAGAACCCTTGACAGTTAGCCTGGTTGATGCTGAAAAGTAGGACCTTAAACCCCAAAAGTAATTTCGCTCGCCGCTTTAAACCTACAGACGAGACGATCTTTATTAATCTATTTCAAATGCATCTCAGTCCTACTGTGTTTCATTTCAAATACAACCATTAAGATATAACGTCAGCAGTTCTAATGTAATGTATATGTTCACAATTATAGTTTTTTAGTTATAGATCTAGCATGAAAAGGAGAACAAAAAAAAATCAGACGAAAACTTAAATGGTTATTCGTGCGTTATTAGATTAGCATTCCATATTAAATTATCATGAATTCTGATTATAAAAATATGTGCATTCAAAAAAGCATACATTAATATTTCAGTAAATCGCAAAAAATACTATTTCTTACTTCTTCGACGTCATATATCTTTTTAAAAGGTTAGGGATAGTGTTAACCATTTGAACACCCCTATGAAAAGTGCATTGGTTCCTTATATATTATAAAGGCAGTGGTATCCGTATACATATAAAAAGTTCAACAAATTTGTTAAATGTATGTTAATTTCCTTAATAGATATTTGTAAAACGTGTTCTAGAAATAATAAGCACATAGTATATCTTACCATTTATAGGCGAGTGAAACGTCTCTTAAATTGGATTTAAGAATAAAAAAGGAGTTAATCTTATTGTATTTAATACATAACCCACTGTCATAGGCGTACGAGCTGGGGGGGGGGGGCTGGGAGGGGCTGGGGGGGCGGCCGCCCTCCCATTTTGGGCACCAAATGCTGGGAAAATTTGGGCACACAATTGTACTTTGTAAAAGTTGTATAAAATAATATTGCGTTCTTGAATGTGTCCAATTTAACAGCTAATTTATTATTATTATGTAACATACTAAGAACCTAGCTACATTTTTTGGGCACCAACCACCACCGCCCCCCAGTCAAAAATTTCCCCGTACGCCTATGCCCACTGTTCCGTAATCAACACGAGAAACTGACAGGACATCACACAATTCGACCCTAATTTAGACATATACCCTTATGCCACAGACAACTTGAATCACCCTTTACGTCATCAACACAAATAAACCTTTCTGACAATCATTATAATATGTCTGACTGGATGGATCTTAATTCTTGTTTTATATTCAACCCCAAGTCTGGTTGACAAGAAACATCAATACATAGCAGAATTTTACATCAAAAGTATCAGTATATCAACATTAATACTGATAGCCACAAAAATACGAAAATACGGCTGACAAACTGTCTCAGGTATATCAGTACAAACGTATAACAATTACACAGACATATTTTCGGAGTGACCACACCTTCATATAACATTTCCAGTTAAGTTGGCACTAGAAAAAATCTGAGAAACCCCTTGAAGTTAGGCAGTAGTGCTTTTTTTAAGGAAAATGCCGAGGATCAAAATGACATCAGTTGCATTAACAGGGCTTATTATATTTGAGCAATCATGGCTTGCACAGACGACTTTATATACACATAGAAAACAATTAGGCATTTCCTTTATTTTTCACAATTAACTTTCTCGCGATGTTTGGCGTTGAAACCCTGCAAATATAATCTCTGGAAAACAAGTGGTTTGCAAGAATACATCTTTGACGATAAGAAAACTTAAAATGTTTATCCAGTTTTACGATTTTAACCAGGGGCGGATCTAGGAATTTTTGCAGTTTGTTCCCGAGTCAATGTATCTTTAGGGGAGGGGGTGACGGGGGTCTCTCCCCCCGGATTTAAAAATTTTTGAGAAATACATGGTCTCGATCGTCACGGTCTTGGCGAATATCTGGAGTAACCAGATGTCATTTTGATAAAACAAAGAAACTGGAATTTTACTAAATACATGTACCAACTATGCTACGTTTTCCTTTTACTGATACGCAATAAAATCAGTTCTGTACGATTTTGACAAGAAACAAAATAGAAAAAGCACCAAAATATCAAGAGAATTCAGAATGTGTACAGAGGAAGGCAAATAAAACTGAATGAACTTAAATGAGGTTTAACGTACTTTTCTGCACCACACGTGCTAATGAAGACGGATATATTCCATGGGGGCAGGATCTGCTCGGAGTGCAACGTTGCCCTAATATAATCTCCATCGAATTCAAAAGTGCTGTTTTACAATTTTTTGTGCAGCTGAGAAGGAGGGTGGAGGTTGGGAGTCCTACTGTTCTGCTCCGAACTGGGTCTACTCTTATATCGAATTCCAACTGTCAAGGGATCTTTTTCGTGCACGTCAATGTGTACACGGGACCTCGTTTGTTAGACCCATCCGAACGACTAGATAGTTTTCACTGTCAAGGGGTGAACCACGCCGGAAAATCTGGATGAATTTTCTCGGCCAGTGCAGGGATTGAACACCCAACTTCCAGGCTAGCGAGCCAGCATCTTACCAACTTAGCCAACCTCGAAAGAAAAGTCATTTTGAAAAATACAGGAGGTGAAATGCAATTGAAGCATATATTGGTCCCGAAATGACATAGTTTGTGTCGAGTGGGCTTTAATTCCTCTCACTCTGTCTGTCTGTTCTGTGTTTTGTCGAACCATTTTCTTACACCGTGTATCCAAAGTAAAGTGCTCTCAGGTAGGTGTTGTCGTCTGCTAACCTCTTTAACAGAATGGTTACTAAGGCTTATTTTCCTTCAGAAAGAAAGTTCTTAGCACATTCAATATACACTGATTACAAATTTTATTTCTCACTATAATTCCAGACGCTGTCAATGACCATATATGGCCTTTACCCCATAAATACCTACTATAAATCTATTGGCGTCGAACTACTTCAGACTAATTGAAACTAGACTTTTCCGTCCTGCAGCAAGTCTTCACCACCTAATACATTATCACCAAATGAAGAAATAAATATTATTTCAGCAACAAATTCAATAAAATTTAGATAAAATGGTTTCTAAAGATATTTAACTCAACAGCGATAACATATAAATCAGCAATTTTAGACCATTTTAGATAGACATTCAGTATTTAAAATGAATGAATATATGGGGATTATTGCATGACCAAACGAACCTAGTTGGTGTAGATTGTTCTTGGTAGCCAGCCATATGAAGGAGTGGTTTTCAGAAGAATTTACACTGTTCCAATGTTCGCTTTATTTTAGAATGTCTAGGTATATATTAGGCATGGCAAAATACCAAATTAAAACAAATCTTTAGATTTATGACAAGTTAAATGGGGTACCTGGCATCGTTATGTGAACTTATCTAATGGGTGCCTTGGTTACGTGAAATTATTTAATGAGGTAACGTATCTAATGGGAGAAGTTATCTAATGTGATACCCCGGGTATGTGAACTTATCTAATGTGATGCCCCAGCTATGTGAACTTATCTAATGTGATACCCAGCTATGTGAACTTATCTAATGGGGTACCTTAGACCTATTTGAACATATCTTAGGGATGCCATAGCTATGTAAACCTCATGGTGTACTGTGGTTATCTGAACTTATCTAATGGGATACACAGCTATGTTTGAACATATCTTATGGAGGTCATAGCTATGTAAACCTATCTCATGGGGTACTGTGGTTATCTTAACTTATCTAATGGGGTACCTTAGCTCTGTTTGAACATATCTTATGGATGTCATAGCTATGTAAACCTATCTCATGGGGTACTGTGGTTATCTGAAATTATCTAATGGGTTACATAGCTATGTAAACCTATCTAATGGGGTACTGTGGTTATCTGAAATTATCTAAAGGTACCTTAGCTATGTGAAATTATCTTACGGAGTAACTTAGATAATGTGAAATTATCTTTTAAAAAAAGGTAGCCAGTTTAAGTGAACTTCATGAATGGGAATTGAGTTGTCTTTGTTTATTTAATATGGGTATCTAAGGAATTTTAACCAAAGGGGCACCACGGCTAGGTGACGTCCTCAGCAGGGGACTTTCATATTCCCGAAGCAATGGCCCGAGAAATCCCTCTCTGGCCATTGCTGGATTGGCATCTGATACTTGAGCTTTTGAGGGAGTGTGTCTATTCCGTTCAATCAAATATATCCCAAGTGCAGCAACATTACAGCCCTTAGTTTAATCTGGGGTCTTTCCTACAACTCTAGACAGTGATTTAAGGTATTAAAAACGGTGAAAGTATTGTTCGTCTCCAAACAGTATTGTTTATATTGTATCCGTATTGATAGCCTCGTTTGTCACGCAATTAATTTTTCTGCAATATTCTGCTATACACTGGTTAATTGGGCAAAATAAATTCGTGAGTTATGACGTAACGTTATGTAAACATATTTGGTCCAATTTGGAGCTCTGTTCAAAGTGTAATGTTATTGGTTGTTAATCGGACTATTGACCAGTCATAATTTTGAACAGAAATTTGCCTCCATTACAGCAGTGTTAAGTGGGATTAGCTCTAATCAAACGAACCACTGCGAGGACTATGGGGACCTTAGGCATCTGATGTTTTTAATGGGTGTACCTTTTGTATGAGAACTTCATTGATGGGATGGGGGAATGTTCATTTTGAAATAATTTATGGGAGGGTGTTACTGTTTGTGCCTGAATGACATATTTGGATCAGAGGATCACAATAATAAGTATGGATAAAATGCCATGTACATAAAGATGCAACACTAATTTGGTGCTTGGTATTTTTCTTGACTAATTATAATCTATTTCCAAAGTAAAAGATTCAGAGGAAATAGACTCTCTCGAAAGATTCCAGATTTACCAAAACGGTTCTCGAAATTTGTAAAATAGCCAGACACACCATGACTTGGCTAATTAACTCCACCCTTTGGTACATTCCACGCCTCCTACCCTCCAGTGGCTCTTTACGTATTTATTGTCTAGATCAGTTGGTGACTGGGTGTAGAATGTTTTGTGTTTACGCATATCTCACACCCATATGTATATAGTTAACTGTGGTGTTATAATATTGTATGATGGTAGAATGGGACAAAGACTGTTAGCAGCGTAAAACAGTTAACAATATTCAGCCTGGCCTCAGTCAACGAGACAGAGATGGGCTGTCGATTTCACTACACGTACTGCAGCCGTTCGACTTCATAAACCTAACTAACCCATCATTACGCCATAATGGGGGTGAATGATTCTCAAAATTTGTTGAGATGATTTAACCCTATTTGATCAACCAAGCAGACTAACGCAAGGATCATTAAGTTTTTATCTACGTGTTTTCATGGATTAAGTTGAAGCGATATGGGCAACAGGTTGTTGTTATTTGTAATGTGTCTGATTCACAGAGCTTTCACAGAAGGTAAGATACCTTAGTTTTCATCGTAATCTTCCATTGTGTTTAAACGTAAAGGGTTTTTAATTGCCAGGATACCAACTGATAATATTGTACACAATAATACAGAATCTCAATTACTTACTTGGGTACATAGACGGACTTTCATTGAATACGTAGATCAAGGATAATTGAAAGACCATAGATATAATTTATAAATTAAGGAGTAAACTTATGTTTTCGTAAAATCGTAAATGTTTTTTTTAACTGTGTGGAAAAACTTACTTATAATTACTTACTTATGTACAAAGTGTTTGAATACGTATGATCAGGAATAATTGGAAGACCATTGAAAAAATTTACAAATGAAGGTGTAAAATCGTAAATGGTTTTTAATTGCGTGATATGGACTTTAATTGAATACCCAGATCAAAGATTTTTAGAAAACCATTGATAATATTTACAAATGAAGGACTAAAATTCGTTTTTCGTAAAATCGTATGTTGTGTTTCTCTTGAGTCACAATTACTTATTTACACAAAGAGACTTTAATTGAATGCACAGAGACGAATGTTGGTAATATTTGCAAATGAAGGAGTTAATATTGGTAATTGGTGTTTGTACATAGTCAGATTCTGTGTAATTTTTGATCTTTAACTTTAACAGTGATGAGAATTATCTCATTGTGTCCATTGTCATGCATAACTATCTAGACTAAGGAAAATTTTCTCACGGTTCACAGATTATAAAAAAATATATGTATTTGAAATGCCAACAGCGGTAGGACATCGAGTGGTTAGAAAGTTTTTTTGTTTTTTTTTAAATACTTGATCGTTTTAACTTAAACTCAAACATTTTCTTACTAATAGCATTACAGTTTGTATTCTTTATTATGGAAATTCAGATTTGAAAACCGCCATGCCTAAAATAAATAAGGTTAGAGTCAGACCAATTCTTACAGAGTTAAAAATCTATATGTTGTCTTGCTAAATATAAACTTCGATAATCATTATTTCATGACAATCTATAAACGACTTATTTACTCACATTACATCATACAATAAAAACACGAGATATCCATAATTCTAAAATCTGAATCAGAATAAAAACAGCAGATTTGATTAAATTCTTGAAGCCCCAACTTGTCAGAATAAAGATTATAGAGTTTAAGATCATATTCTATCAAACGTACGTTTTTTTTTTAGAAAATGGCCTGTTCCAAAAATCATTCAAATCAAGCAATTCTGACAGCATGGAGTTGTAGCCATTTAAAGTTTACATTGATTTCTATTAGATTTCACACAACCATCTTTATGTGTATTAAACCAATAAAGTAATAATAAATCTGCTGTCTTTTCCTACAATTCAGATCATTTTCCATGGATGTTTATTTTTACAGTGCTTAAATAAATATTGCAATAAAATAGAGCATATTTTACTTTTGACGTGAACGACCCCCGGTGGGTTGGACCTTAGATTTGGTCTAAGATTTTATAACCAGGGTCTATCCTTTATTCATATATGGGTGAGCTTAGTTAATTGGCTAATGGAAATGAAATGGGGTTTAAGTCCTACTATTCTACACCGACTGGACTAATAAAGACTGTAATACACCATACAATGTGCTATGAGAGACATTTTGCCCGGACAGCGGCACTACAACCTACTCTTATTTCGAATCCCAACTGGCAAGGGTTCTTTTAAGTGTAGGCCAACGTGTACAAGGTACGACTGTTTTGCGTCCCATCCGAACGACTAGACACTGCCCTTGTCAGACCATCCGTCTTGCACTGCTGACAAGAGCAAACCACGCTGGAAAATCCCGAGGAACTTTTTCGACCAACACCGGGGGCGAACCCGAGACCTTACCGCGTACTCGCTGAGCCACCGCGGTTCCAAATCCATACTAATACTATGGCTGTCCCGAGGCTGAAATGTGGTGTATTGGAGTAGCTCGGACCGGGAAGTAACAAGGCCTGGTGGCGATGGCCTACCACTTCCGGTTCATGGATATAGCTGTGCTACGCCGGGTCAACCGCTAGTAAATAATAAAGGAGAGAAAGGAAATATTTGTATATTGTCCCTTTCTCTTTAACTTCCTCCAGTGTCGACCAACAAATTTCATTAGGACCATTACAATTTCTAGCAAGACTCTTTCCACCACAAAAATACGACACAATGATGGTTGTAGTCGCAAAGTTGTATTTGTGACTTTCTGCAGAGAAAGGTGGATCAAAGGAGTATTTGTTCAATCAGTTGTTCCATTTTTATAATATTTATGCAACAAATAGTTGTCATATAAATCATTGTGAACAAGGGAAATGGGCCAGGAAAAACGATGCAGATCTACAAAGGTTTTGGTTAAAGCTGATAAATCCACAAAAATGTAAAAAGGTGCTAACTGCTGCTAATCGTTGTACAGTCGGTGTTTTCATGCACTCGTATCCATTAATAGCATTTGAATTTAGTGCTCTGTGTGTTTTTTGTCATCATGAATTGATGGCCAGTTTTGCCACATTGTTTATTTGTAAAGGAAAAAAAACGCACATCATCCGTTTACATGTTTGTAAAAGCAAAAGCACTGTATTTTTTGTGTTAAATCTATCAAACAAGATAAATGCGTTAGAAATAATACAAAAGTATTTACAAAAAAACAACTTCCGACATGAAAAAATATATATAACAGCGAAACAATTTGTGCTGGGCAGAAATCCAATCTTAGGTTATTACAGAGAATCAATACTACACAATGATGTGCTGAAATCTGCTGCTACTGCACCGTTTGTTTATTGAAAACGTTTAGAAATGACAGCATCACGGTAATTACTTGACGGAAATCCTATATTGGTCCTCATTGATTTGTGAGTCTAAATAAGAGAAATGATCCGTCAATAATTATATTGGTTCCTTGCGCGGTAAAACACATGGAGGCTCTATCCCCAGGCTAATCAATAGGAAGCATGAGATAAGGTGCTGGATAGATCAAACGTACAACCCGACTTCATGTCAGTGTACAATCAATCTAGTTCAACACGTTTCTACTAATCATACTTTACTCTGCTTTAAAAATCATTCAGTTATTCCGATGAATCATCAAATCAGCCAAATCTAGTTGTACCATGGGGTCGGAATATTCTCTCTAAAGCCTCCTGTTAGCGACTTGGTGATCCTTCGTCTTCTGGAACTTCGTCAATCCATGCTAGTCTTGGCTTACGGGCGCGGGATGTCCAAGGGCACAGGGCATTTTCATCAACTTTATAGCAAGATCGCATATCCGGTGTTCCTGTACCGTTTATTCTGCCTGGGGTTCTCTTTGCAATTATCCCGCAGTATCATTTTGTAGTTTATGGACCTAAAGAACATTTTGTGGTTGGGTTTCCCCTGTATGTTTCATTATAATATTCTGGTTAAAAGTTTCCTAAACTATCTTTTGTGTGCAAATGACTACCATTCAAATTCCTTTGGTACCCCAAGAAGCCGATGGAGAAGGTAGAATTTACTGGAAAACGTTCAAAATCCTGAAAAAGAAAATATCGACATTCACCATTTTATGAGATGCCGATATTCCAATTATTTGACCCATGATTAAAATGTTAACCTCGAGTGACACAGATAGAATGACAGGTGTTTTATTAATACCCAAAGTACTCCTATGAAAAATTCACAAGATGACTTAAAGAAGGCCCTAGAAAGTTCATGAAATATTAATCAAAACTTTAAAGGAAAATATCGAATACAACGTAACTCTGCAGTACACCATTCAGATTATGTGACTACCAATTAAAATGTTAATCTAACGATCATAACACCAGCCGATAATCACGGGAGTTTTAACTAAATATCTCCTCACGCTGTCGATTGAACTCGGCACTCCGGACAATTTGGAAGTAATGAAGCATCAAGACACTGTCGATGTAATGATTAATGTCTGAGTTGATTCAACATTACTTCGATATTTGTAGTTTATACCCACACTATACTTTATATCTTTAAAGGCACTGCAAGCCAGATAGCCAGTTCGTTACGTTATCATATATCTCAACACGATGGAGCGGAAACCGAGATCCCGTGTACACGTTGGCGTGCGCATAAAAGAACCCTTGATAATTGGAATTGGAAATAAGAATAGAATGTTCGGGCAAAGTTTTCCATTATATCACACTGCATATGCGTAACCCGTCTTCACGCTTGGTGGATTCAAAAAAGTAGTACGTTAAACCCCATTTCATTTCTATAGTCCAAAAGTAAAATGTACTATTTTCACGAAGAAAGCTGACCTGTATGAAAAAATAGTTGAATTATAATTACTATACTTCTCTCAGAGAAATAAAGACTGGGATTTGAAATCAATAGAAATCAACGTAAGGTTAAAGTAGCCATAACTTAAGTTAGAATTGATGTATCTGAATAAATTTGGAACCAAATATTTTCAAAAGAGGCTCGTTTGATATTACATATTTATTAACTTTATATAGATCACAGGGTTCGCCATTTATATAGGTACTGCGATTTAATCCCACTACCGCAGAAGCTGGACAATGGACTGGCAACCATTGACGGGAACCATTTCCGGGTTCGAATCAATGGAAACATGACGTTTGTTTTAAAATCCCTGCTGTATTTTGTTAGGGGTGAAGTCAGGGATCCCGTGTACCACATTGGCAGTGCATGTAAAATGGTCTCTTGGCAGTGGGCGGAAACGCTTCTGTCTGCACACCTAGCCAACTAACTAAAGTATAAACGAGCCGTTAAATTTCATCCCATCTTTACTTTATGCGCTGGTAGTTCGTCCCTTTAACTAAAACTTAAGATATACGGTATACAAACAGACATTAAAATCGCCTTCAGTTAGAATGATGGTGATAACAGTTCTCGCTTGCCATATTTAATTGAGCAATCTGGTTTAATGAGATATATGCCCCAGGATAATTTGGGTAATTGGCAAAACCTAATTATACCTATCTTCATATGAACTTAATAACGTGATAACGAGACATTTACATCAGAATTTATATCGTTGCATGTTG